ACTAGACGAAACGCAGCTGTTGTAATGCTTTAATAAACATTTTGAAAAAGCTGCTAACCTCAAATTAGGCTGAAATTTTGTAAGATAGTTTTAATTTTTGTGGTAACTGCATGCAATAAAATTTTGAATGATTAAGTAATCGAATGCTTGAAAGACATTTCTTAATTTTATGTCAATTAAAAGTTTATACGAGTATATACCTACCTGTACGCGCTAATAAGAGAGACGTTTATTGATTATGATCAATGTGTCTTTTAGTCAAGTATCATTATAGGCTTAGTTTGTGATGCTGTTTGACACCTTATTTTTACCAGAATTTTAATTTTTATGTATGGACGTCAATTTAGGCAGAGGGAGACATTAACTGTTGTGAAACATTGAAAGGATTTCACAATTATGCTATGGGTACTATTAAAGCTGAGCAATTTCATAATTTTTCACTTGGTACAGTAAGCTGTGGAGGACACCGGGCAGCTGATTTGGGCCAAGGCTGTCCGGGAGCGGCTTCGACGCTTGAAGGAATCGATATGTGCACAGCAACCTTGGCTCCACTTGCCTGACTGCAATATGTGCCTCTGGACTGTTTAATTAACCTTAATTTTTAATTGCTTTGTGTGATGGGACATTCTGACAACCAGTAGATGAAATTAAATTGATGATCAGATGCTTAATTAAATTAAAATAAGCGTATCCACAAAACAAGAAGAGCTGTGAAAGTATAAAACGACCACGAGCTACAAGAAACGACATTACAATGACGATATCGATTTTCTCGTTAGAACATTTCTTCAGCGGGCAGCAGCATCCAAGTGGTTGGTCTCGGGCATAGAGTGAAGTGTGATTACCTTTGAATAAAGAAAGTAGTAAAGTAAGTAAAAGACGAATGTACAATTTTATTTAACACTCAATGTCAGAAATGCTCAAAGAAGAACTGAAGAACGCTTCTTGTAAGGTAAGTTATAAATGCACTAGATAAGTAAAAAATGTAAATTAATCTAAACAGATAAATAAAATTGGAATGTCCGTTTGTAATATGAAAATAACCGCTTATTACTAAATGCATATGGATTTATATACGGTACTTATACCAAAATAATATTTTTAACTATTTTTGTCCGTCTGTCTGTTTGCTCCGGCTGGACCGATTTAGACGGAACATTCACTCACAAATAGCTGATCTAATAAGGAGTAACTTAGGCTACTTTTATTATAGAATTTTTTTATTTTAAATTCCACGCGGACGAAGTCGCGGGCACAGCTAGTCTATACAGATAAATAAAATTGGAGTGTCCGTTTGTACTATTAAAATAACAGCTTTTTACTAAATGCATATGGAGGTATACACGGTACATATAACCAAATAACATTTTTTATAATTTTTGTCTGTCTGTCTGTCTGTTTGTTCCGGCTAACCTCTGAAACAGCTGGACCGATTTGGACGGGACTCTCACTGGCAGATAGCTGATGTAATAAGGAGTAACTTAGGCTACTTTTATTTTAGATATTTTTTTTATATAAAATTTCAAGCGGACGAAGTCGCAGGCACAGCTAGTATAAAATATAAATGAATAAAAAGATATGACTAGACAATCTTTCCCTGAACACTCCTTAATGCAATCTTATTTAGGTCACATCACTATGCAATGAGGGAATGCTTATACATAGAAAAAAGATGGTAGAGCTAATGTAAATTTACTGACCGTCGTAGACGAAAATGTTGTACTGCAAAGTGAATTGCATCGTGAAGCGCGCGACTGACACGCGGCAAATGTAACTGTCGTATAAATAATTCGACAAGGGACACCTTACCTTGCTTGCCAAGTGCGGGCGGAATCCAAGCAAAATAGAAAAGAAACTGCTTTCATCAATTTTAGACAAAATTTGATAATTATTTAATTTGACAAGTTCTTTTAGATTAGTAAGTGAATAGTGATTAGTATTAAATCAATACGATTTAAGAAATAAGTATATCCTGAATCAAATTTTCATGACTTTATGAAATATTATTTCCCTCTCACCTCCATTTCACCGCTAAAACAACTTTTCACAGTGAAAAAGTGAAATCACACTCCGCTGAAAATTCGACCTTACACATTCTCCCCAGCAGTGAAAAGAGCGAGCATTGCAATTGCAAAATTGAAATTAAGATCCTATTTTCATGGTGATTGGAGGCGACAGCCACGTGAGGCCTCGCCAAAATGTCACCCATGGGCGTAGCGTCGCAAATCGGATGGCAACGCGCTGGTGACGACAGTTGGCGAGTGTCGCGACACTTGACGGCTAGAGCGCGGGCAATTGGCCGCTTGGCGAACGATCGTTTGCGACACTTGCGATACAATGACGAATGGCACGAATATCGCGGTAGCGCGTAAATGACAGATTGTACGCCTGCTGACTCGAACAGAATTTCGCTGGTGGCGAAATGACTTTACTAAGTTTAGCATTAACAAATTATTTCATCAGAGTTCACTGCTGCATTGCACTTCTGCATCTACTCATATTTATTGAAGACAATATTAAAAATACCAGGTGGTCGCAGACCAGGCAAGGCCCAAATACGAAGCGGCAGGCTTATTAGGGGAAGGACCACGGCCTCACAGAAGATCGATGTGAAGTAGAATTGTTATACTTCTCCGTTTCTCCCCCTGAATGAGGATCCCCACGGGTGTTGCAAATATCCATGTGTGGCGATTATAACCTAATATATCTGATTTAGCGCCAAGTAAAATTAAAGTACACAACAGCCTATAAATGGCCCACTGCTGGGCAAACACCTCCTCTGTAAATAGGGTATCGATTATCACCTAATATATCTGATATAACGCCAGCTGGCTTGCCACCTTCTCACATAAAAAAGTAATATTTTGATATTGAAACTCATTTCTCTTTCAAAGTTCCTTTAATTTAGGTAATGTCGCTTTACTGAGTCGTTCGTAAATGAAATTTTCGATATCGTTACAGCACTAAAGTTGTTGCTAAATTCAGAAACTCATCCAAAGCTAAACAACGTCCGAGGCGGTAAATAATGTAAATTGCGTTAAAATTAATTTATCTGCGTCTCGGTGCGAGCCACGCAATTTTGCCACACAATGAATTATGATGGAGTTTTATTTGAAAACTTAACGACGCGGACAAGGCACAGGCGGTAGCGGCGGTGGGCTTCGTTTTTGTTCAAATAGACCATGTGGTCTATTCTTACAGTATCTGAAATACCCTTCTTAAAATACTGACCAAGTAAATATAAACTAAATGTTTTAAACAATGATGCAATAATTTATTTGCGTCTGTCTAATCATCCAAACAACATTTCAGTAAAGTAAAAGTAAAGTACACAACAGCCTATAAATGTCCCACTGCTGGGAAAAGACCTCCTAGAAGTAAAAAGGTTATCAGGGCATAGCCCACCGCGCGACTGCAAGGCGGATTGGCGGACCTCACATATTTTTGAAATACTTACTTTTTTGTTATTATTCCGAAAATATGCAGGTTTCCTCACGATGATTTCCTTCACCGCTGAGAAAATGATATGTCAGCACTTTAAATTAACAATTTCATTGGTGCCGGCACTGGGGATCGAACTAAGGTTACTCAAGTAAATCGAAGTAAAAGCGAGCGCCCGGACACTGAACTATCACGGCTCTTTATTGGACGTATTAATTGTTTACATCAAAGAACAAATGACAGGAAGGACGCATTAAAATTTACAAAAATATAAACTTTTGTCTAAACTAATTAAACGAAATTTTCTTTCATTATCAAATGGCATTAATTTAGTAATGTTTATTATATTTAAATATAAATTAGATCACTTAAAATTAAGATACACCTAGGTCATATTATATTTCAACGCAATTGTGACATCCAATTCCTCCCCCCCAATTACTGACAACTATCATTCGGTGTCCGCCGCTACAGCTTAAGACTATGCCAGAAATGTGAATGTTTAAGCGCAATTTCTAAGTTGTAATGTTGCTGCTAGCACATTACCAACACTTTTTAATATATTATATTTTTCATTATCAACGTAACGAATTCTAGTAACATGCTATTATTCGATGTTAAAAAGATAAGATTAATTTGGCCAAGTCGCAAAAAAATTATCTGGAAAAAATACATAATAATGTGTAACGAAAACTAAGTTTTTAGCTACGAAATTCAAATTAATACATTTTATTAAATGTTGTTTCAAGGTCATTTTAATTTATTCTTTGGCGACGTTAAAAAAATTCATTGACCAAGTTCTATCATCAATTTCAATAAATTATATTTTCAGTGTTTCGTGGCTATATTATTTTTAACTTAAAATATTTTTGGGACTTACCTTTTAATTACTAAATCAATATTTAAAATGAAAAAATACTTATATTTACTTTTATGGTAAATGATCTTACACCCAGTTAATTATATCCAGAATGCCAGAAAACTTTTCACTATGTTCCTTAGAACTCACTTTTAAATGAAGAACGAATAAATTCTGAATTCGAGAAATTTTTACCTACATGCTTGCAAAAATGGATATTACAAAGAAGTAAGTATAAATTTTCTCATGTCGTCGTACTAACATTAAAAATATTTATTTAATGAAAGTTTCTGTGCCACAATTAATTAATTAAATGAAATTTAATTTTACATCTTATTTGTACCTAATTTCACCATGAAAACACGAATAACAAATTCCTGCAAAAATGTTGTGAGTTAACACTCCCATTTCATAATGTATCTCATTGGCCGTGAACCTGTCTCACGTCAGTTGTCGCCTGTCACCTGTCACCTGTCAGAGAAGACTTTTCACGGAAATGATATTAATATACCGTGCGTCCGAGCCCGTTGCCAAGTCGCTTCAGGGAGAAACCGCATTATTATAATGTTCGACCGAACTAGCGGTGATCCATTCCCAATGACGTTCATCTTAAATAACACCAGCCCCCACGTCTTTAAGTGTAATAGAGCTACAAGTATTATTTGGAAGTTATTCATTTCCCATTATATAGTCAAGAGGAATGTCCATTATGATGAGCAATTCTGCGGGCCTAAATGCGCAAGTGTTATTTGCACGTGTGGAGTTCACGAGGGATAGACGAATAGGTAAACGTATTAATGGTATATTACTTATGAACTTGATTAAAAATATCTAGCAAACAGCCAGTCCTGTAGCCTTCGAGGTAGCAACCGAGCAGACTCGGATGCCGCTGAACAAAGGATGCGTCCCCGTCGCCAGAACAAAGGATTCGCTCCCCACGGGGCGCTTGGCGCAACGTCCGCAATCTCGGGCCAAAACGTAGGCGAGTAGGCGACGCGATATTTTAATCATCTATCGTATATAGTAAAGTAAAGTACCAACCTATACATGTCCCACTGCTGGGCAAAGCCTCCTCTATCAGGGCATTTAACCTGCGGATTGGCGGACTTCACATATCTTCGAAATATTTTTTTGTTATTATTTCGAAAATATGCAGGTTTCCTTACGATGTTTCCCTTCACCACTGAGCACGTGATAATTCAGCACTTACAATGGACAATTTCTTTGGATTTGAACTGACGTTGTTCGAGTTTATTAAATTAATGGCGAGCGGACACTGAGCTATCACGGCTATCATATATACGTAACACTAAAATAACATGCAATATCTCCACTCGGCGTCAAAGGTATTCCATTTAAAAATAATCAAATTCGTCAGCTCCCGAAACTGCTATGAAATTCCATGCCAACTGTTTCAATATAACCATTTATTATAAAGCATCCCCTAAGGCGCGGCAGTCGGGCGGTCCAACATCTCTCCCAAATTACTTTCCTATGAAAACAGATCCATGCGAATTGAGACGCAACGCAATACGGCCGGGGAGACGATCAGATCGATCCAGCTCTACGCAGTCCTTACGACGAGAACGAAGCGTCGTCTGAGAGCTATAGGGGCCTGGGAGGTCGGCTCTCTGATATGGCGAAAGTGCTGGGCGCCCGCGATATGCAAATGCCAACCTTAACTTCGCTGCCGCAGCGTGTCTCGCCCAGGATAATCCACCCGAATTAGGGCGAAGAGATTAGATGAGGTAATACAGCGGGCCCTACACGGCATCAGTTTGCCGCTTAATGGAGCCGCGAAAAGCCAAAATAAAAGAGCCTTCACTTTTTAAACAAAATCGACGCCCGGATTCAGGCGGTCTCCTCGACGACAAATCCCTAAATAACATCTCTATACATAAGATAATATTTTAGTTATTGTAATAAATTGTATGTACTTTGCGGGCAACCGTTTCTGCTTTTGCACCAACAGACTTTGGGGAAGTACCACGACCATACTGAAGATGAATAATTCATCAATTATTGATGTAAAAAGTTAACCAATGTAAAAATAATAATAATATTTCAATCTTCTATTCGCAAAAGCAGTAAAATACAGTGCTGAAGACCTCATGAAGCCAGATGCGGCAGGCGAAAACTAAATGTCTAACTTTAAATACACGTAAGAAATACAAAAACGTAAAGAAAATTATTCATTACTGATTAGAAAGTATCCTGAACGTTTATTAAAATATATTTTACGCATTAATGTCATGGTATATTAATCAATAATAATAATAACATAAATATCCAATTATTTGTCAAAATAAATGTGATTAAAATAAAATAAAAGAAATGGTAAAACAACCAAGAAAATGATAGTTAACAATTTTTGTTTCTCGTACAGATATTCTTTAATGTCATAATAAATGCATCGTCTTAATAACCAAGTTTTGAGATTGGTTTTAAATTTACTATTGATTTGCGCATTTAGTTCACTGGGAAGTTTATTAAAAAATATTCACTCTCAGGTCTTATGATAAAATGCTCTTTTTGGTATTCGGCCTAAAGCAAATATTTATATCATATTTTTGCGCAAGAATACTGGTTTTTTATACTTGCTATTCTAGCAGAGCCATAATCTTCAGAGCCTCGAATAATGAAGCCGCTTAGAAGAAGTTAGCCGCGTCCAAATTTTTAAAGGTGGGCGGCAATAGGCACACTATCAATAAGTCGTCTCGATAGATGTCTCAGAATATACTGGAGCAAAATTACAAACATTGAGAAATTGTTAATTTTAAGTGCTCATTTATCACGAGCTCAGCGATGATGGATAACATCGTGAGGAAGCCGGCATAATTTCGATATAATAACAAATCAAAGTATTTCTGCGCTGAAATACTATATAGAGGAGCCCCTGTTCCAGCTGTGGGATATGTATAGGCTGTTACTTTTACTTTCAACCAATCAATTCGTTTGCCAACATCTCGCATAATAAAATAAAATACAAACTCGCTTTGATGGGCTTTAAATAAGAAGTTGGGAAACGATCTTTTATTCAGGTTCATTATTTTTGGCAAGTCTTCCGTTCCCTGGATAAAATAAGCGTTTCAAAAATGCATCGTGTATAAGACACGAATATTTAAATACCGTATACATTAACGTATGACTGTTTGTTTTCAAAGAGACCTACGGTGGCGACTGCCAGGCATTTCTCACCGAGTCCTACGTCATACAAATGAAAACTGGCAAGCGTTCCACTATGCCAATGATTCCAAGAGTGACATCAAAGGGCGCGTTGGCCCGTTGCCTTGGCGACCGCCGGAGCGGCCAGCACATTCAGGGCGCGGGCGACGCGCGGTCTGTGCCGGCCGCCCACCTCCCGAGATGCGCTCACGTGGGTGTCCCATTACATTGCTACGAGAATGTTGCTTGCACCATTATTTGACATACTTCCACGTAATTAGGTGCAAATATAGCTGCCTCACATTTCCGCCCCGCGTCTGCTGAACCGTGGACAGCTATTTCAGTCTACCGTAGTCTAGTGTTAAGTATTTCCAACTATGAAACACTGGAAGTATGAAGTAGCTTGTAAAGTTTTGTTCAAATGAACCGAGTATACTATAAACAATATCCTATGAGCTCCCGAAAATAACGTGGTGACAACACGATGGCTGATTAAATAATCTAAAATTTGCAGAAATACACGCGGACAATGGACAAACATTGGCGCGTTGTCTGCGGACCGCAGCAGCGGTGGGTTGAACACTCGCAGTACAGTTGTCTACAGCGTTTGCAGCACATCAGCCCTCTGGCGATGCTCCTAAGAGTGGCGAAACCGTTTCCAACGCACTAGCGCTGATAATGGCAGCGCACGGGATGACGCAAACGACGGGTTTACATCGTATTTTCACTGTGCGACTATCCCTATGTGGTGGCTAATGCCACACACAGAGACCAAAATTTAACAACCGGAATTTTACTATTTATCGTTACTTCTATAGGATACTCCCTTTCGTTGTACGTATCGTTTCACACGTTTTATTTTTCTCCGATATGTACATTGGATGGGACAAAAGCCTTTAAGTCAAATTAGCTCAGAGGACAATATGTATCTAGATTTCAATAAGGCTTCTGGGTCCAATATTATACATAAATAAACCTTGGGAACGATGAGATAATACAAACACTCATAGGATACGACGGGACCAAACAATGTCCGGAACAAGGCGAGGCCCTGGTGCCCCCAGCGCAGCCGCACGTGGCTCGTTTGCACATCGGGGCGTATTTAGAACTGAGCGAGTCGTGTCACGGGCACATAATGCCCGAATCCGTTGGAAACAAATTACGGAATCCTCCCGCCAATTCCCCGAAGCGCGGCCGCCGCGACGAGTTCGGAACTCCACAAACAGAAGTCGAATTAAGTTTTATGTTGTAACGGCTTACACGAGTTCGCAACTCGTTCACGATTGGTGCTGCTGCTGCGTGAGGGGATAAAGTTGACGGAGTTATTTTTAATTGTTATTCCAACATCATTAGGCGCCTGCCGTGCCGTCTGAATTTCATGCCAGAAGATTACGCAATGTGGCGTAATGATTGATCGTACCGCTACTGACGGAAGACCCTTCTTTAATATTATTTATGATAATGTTTTCTTAAATACGCAAGACGCTATTAAGTCTAGCCGCTAGACTAAGCGGTAGATGCGAAATTCAACGAAAAACTCCACGTCTTATCTACAATGTTTTTGTTGCATTATTAGCACTGTTCGGCGCCATCTAATGTCTTTACAGCAAACTCACATTTAATGCACAGATATTTAATATTGTATCTAAGTGCTAGTCTCTGTACTTAAAATTAAACTTAAAATCCTGGCAAAGGCGATAAATTGCGTCAATCGTATGTACACATTTCAATTAGAAGCGAATTTTTCACGTTTAGTGGAGGAGCGTGCATTTTTAGTCTGAAGTACCTCTAGTAATATCTTATTTCTTTGACTCCATAAAAACTGCATTAAGGTATTTTCTGTTTGTACAATATTTTGCAATTATATGTTGTGCTTTCATTGTGCGTTAATACAGTTACGTATTAAATTAACCGTAAAATTACCACTTTTATTTTAACTATAGAGGAAACAGACTTTTAGTGTACACTCCGCAGCATTTAAGCACAACTTCAAATAGTCTTGTATTTTTAGATACAAGAAGCAGATTCGGTTTTAATATGTTCAGGCTTCCATAGGTGTGTCGAAGTGTCAGCGGATGAATAAACGGCTTCCGACATTAATATTAACACGCCTCGTTTTAACGAAACGCGCTGGGCCTGGCTCTTTATTTTTAAACAGGATTTACACTTTCCCGAAAGTTCTAATATGGACACAGAAATGGCGCCGGCACGGAGCAGAGGCGCGTGATACAAAACGTCGTATTTAAAGACTGTTTATTACGTCTTATAAAACTGGATAACGTCAATGGGAAGCAGTTCGGACGCAATAAATTGCTCCCAAATAATGGCATAGAGATTCCAGGTATTCTATCTTAATGTTCTTCCTACCATCTATACCCCCTTATTTTTGTTGCGAGATTGGATAAGATGTGTAAAAAGAAATTTGCCAATGATTATGATGAAATTTGCCAATAATTTGCCAACAATTGTGCCATTATATTTGTGTCTAGACGGGCACAATTTCTCCTGATAATTATTTCTCATGATAGGTGCCAGTCTAGATACAATAGCGAATTGTATTCTTTTTTAAGCTTAAACAAATTCCATTGCGAGTACTATTAAAAATTGAACAATTGCACTTTATTATCTTCGTGTCGTTATGGATATAGCCACTATTAGGAAACAGTTTTGAGCGGTGTAAATAGTGAGCGACAGTCGGGAATAAGCAACGGTGGCTGACTTCGCCATCGTATTACAAACGATTCGGTGCGCTCCCGCCGGGAATAGAACTTGGGGCCCTGACATCTGCCGGCCCTGAACCCGCGCACTCGCGGGGGGCGGTGCGCGCTGCCCGCTAAATATAACCGACGCGATACTAGGAACCACGTTTCGTATTGTTCTTCTTTCTGTCGTCGCTTTCTGCATTTGGTTTTATTTGCGATTGACGATGCGACATTGTTATTAACTACTCTAGAAATTTAAACTATTTATAGTGCTAATCTTTGCACTTAAGATTGAACATTAAAATATGTAGAAAAAGTTTAAAGCACTTTTTCTACATATTTTAACTATTCTAGAGTAATAAAAGTTACAAAGTAAGACGTTATTACTCTAGAATAGTTAAAAACAAAGTAACGCTTTCTTTTGGCAACTCAAATGACATTTGAGAAGCTGATTAGTTAATTTCTATGACGATCAAAATTTCAGAAACCGTACGTAAGTGTCATTAACCGTTGACACAGTTACGAGCACGCTGTGTATAAGGGCACAGGTGAGCCATTGGCAGCTGCGTGTCGGCCATATCCCAGGACTTGTACGCTCAGGCGATGACAGGCGGCGTTGGCAACACCACCTTTAGCTCAGTAAAAACTCTCTTCGGTGTTCTGAGCGCTCCGATTCGGTTCCTTTGTCAATGGGCTTCAAAAAAGTAGAAGCTCCTCAATTCGGCTGTTTCGACTGAGTTTGATGGTTCTTCTTTTATTTGAAAGCTGATGCTTCCCATGGGATCCCATATTAATGCATTGGTATTGGGTCTTTGGCTTTGAACTATTGAAAATCAATTATAAAATGAATACAGAGCGAAGTATTTCAAGTCGGTTTTGTTTTTCGTTAGTAAAAAAATGGACTTGTGTAATACCGCAACTATTTTCATATAAGAAATTAATTATTTTTATCAGAGAATGTACCAACGCGAATTAGGCTTACCTGATGTTTAGTGATTAACTCCCACTCATGGATACATACAACACCGTGAGGGTGGCCCCCGGTTACATCACTCACCGGATGAAACTCAAAAGTATATATACTGTTATGTTACGTCCATATTGCGGAATGCCGTGGCACTTGAGCACTTCAAAGACGAGTCGGGTCATTTCTACAACAGGTGCTTTGTGGCCCCACCACAGAAAAAAAGTTGTTCAATTTGCTTCAATGTTGCAGCTGATAGCAATGATATCAGCTTTTAAATCTCGATAATTTCATAGTGAAATGTAAATTATGTCCAATAGTCATCAAGTTTTGTTTCGGGGCTAGTTTTAGATCTATGGTCTGGATATCATTAAAAAATACCGTTAAAACGTAACCTACATAAATATATGCCCACATGAAGCATGGAATCTGATGGATCTCCCCTTAGTTCCCTTTGTGCAAAAGCAACAGTCAAACGTCACTCTTATTTTAGCTAATAGCACTCGTCTACTTATATACAGGTAGGTACATACGGCTGAGCTCTGCTAGCAACACGCTATTCCCAGAGTAACGAGTGTTCCCATATTATTGGAAAGTTGCCCTCTGCGTCAATCGCGAACCGCCCAGCTGTCTGGTGTCCTGGACTCTCTTCAAACGAAACGCACGCACAGTAACATATGCTCTATTGCAATTGCGTAAAAGTCAATTATCGTGGCCATACTTATTGCACGGCGCTGACCTGTAAATAAGACATGACGCCAGCGGAGAGACTTTGGCCAGCCTTCGTTTTCGGGAGGGCTACGCTTGAGCAGGAAAATGTTGCGGTGAGGTATGGACGTCGTTGGCGAGACTTAGTAAATTCATCATATTATTATTATTATTTAATTAATCCGTTTGCAAAATCGTACGATCCGTCAGCGGCTGCTGAATGGGCGCGAAGTGTCCCAACTCAATGATCGGAATCAAAGCTGCATCAGCGAACGCTGATGCATTAATGCCTATAATTATTTTATTATTTTAAACAATTTTAGTTTGTCTTATCACCTTAAATGTCAATTGACCCAGAACTAACACACAGCTTTTGCATTAAATTTATATTCACACTCATATCATAACCCTGCATTAACAATTTTGATCTTAGGTGGTATTCCAACACAAGAATTGGTGCTGGTATATATTTAAACATCAATAAACTATCGATATAAATAATTAATAACTTTTGGCAATGAATGAAATATCAAATGTGCATTTGTGCAACAATTATCTTAGCTACGTTGCGCAGACAAAGGGAAATTTAACAAGTTTTGTTTTAACTTTTGACGCATTTGGAAAAATTACTAGAGAAAAATTTTAAGATGCCCGCACACCGACCCTCAAAAAGCGACTTTTTGCTTGGTACTTTAATTGTGGCAATCAATAACAGCTTTGTGACATTTACCAACAATTCGAAGTTATTTAAATAAGACGTTATCAATTGCATTTAATGTCTTTACGCTAATGAAGTATAAATTTTTACGTACGTACATAAGTATACACTTTTTTTTCTAAGTTTACACAACACATAATCAATGTATGTAATATTCGAAAATTAGGTACAAAGCCATGCTGACGTCATTTGTAACATAATTTGAACTAGATGGCAATCCATGGCTGCGTCCGCTGAAGCAGGAAGAAACGAGGAAGAGTTGCTCCACCCACGCTCGGCTTCGGAGCCAAGTACAGCACGGGTCTGTGCGCTGTCGTCAGCGCAGTTTCCGGCTGAGCGGGATCGCAATTACTTGGCGCGGATTCAAATCCGGTATGGGACGGACACAGTATACATAGTAACGTGGTACAGATGTAAAACATAACATTCGTTAAAGCTTATACTCGCGTTCATGAAATTATTAAATTAAATTTATAAAATTTGTTAACGTTATAATAACATGACCGATATCAAGCATCGTTCACCGAGCATATTTTACAATGACAGCAACGAGCTCTAATAACTAATGCCATCCGCATATCAAGGAACCCTTATAATATATATTGCACCTAACATATTTATTACATTATACGATAATTTCAAAAATAATCACTACGGGTCACTGGTATTTAAACATGCTACGTCACCTCGTAGACCAACGCTCACATATAAACATATATTACATAATATATATCACAATATCTAGTAAGTAGATAGCTCTACCTTAACCTCTTAACTAAAACCATGTCCAATCAAATCTCTGCATACGACATTGTCATGTCTTCTTGTCCCCGGTGAATCTTCATCTTATAATTGCAATTTGATTCCTTACAAATAATGTAAAATGACTTTTCGCTTTGCCGGTTCCCTACTAAACGTAATCGTGATTACGGTTCAATGACGCGTGCACAATCCAATAGCAACCCCCACCTCGCCCACCCCCACTCGAGCCCAACCCCCGCTACCAGCACCCGGCCTCGATACGGTACACTCGCTCATTTTCAATATCATAATAATAAAAACGAAATTGATTTGACTTTATTGATATTATAAAATACGAAAACTCATACCAGACATTCATTTTTTTCTTTCTAAAATCTTTCCTCTAATGAAATGAT